AGAAGAAGTAGATGTAGTAGTAGAAGAAGAAGTAGAAGTAGTAGTAGAAGTAGAAGAAGTAGAATTAGAAGAAGTAGAATTAGTAGTAGTAGTAGTAGAAGAAGAAGAAGTAGAAGAAGTAGATGTAGTAGAAGAAGTAGAAGGAGTAGTAGAAGTAGAAGAAGTAGAATTAGAAGAAGTAGAATTAGTAGTAGTAGTAGAAGAAGAAGAAGTAGAAGAAGAAGTAGACGTAGTAGTAGAAGAAGGAGTAGTAGAAGTAGAAGAAGTAGAATTAGAAGAAGTAGAATTAGAAGTAGTAGTAGTAGTAGAAGTAGTAGAAGTAGAAGAAGAATTAGAAGAAGAAGTAGTAGTAGAAGAAGTAGAAGTAGTAGAAGTAGAAGTAGAAGAAGAAGAATTAGTAGTAGTAGTAGTAGTAGTAGGAGAAGGAGAAGGAGAAGGAGAGCATTATTTTTCAAACACAGACTAACTGGTTATTTATATTTACTATGGAAATTGCCAAGGATAGATTTTGAATCCCTAAGGCAGTGGCTCCAACCCTGGCAACTCTTAAGACTTGTGGATTTCAACTCCCAAGGAACTCTTGGAGTTGAAGTCCACAAGTCTTAACAGTTGCCAAGGTTGAAGACCTCCTGCTCTAAGACATGCTGGACTGCACCGGACCAAATATGGACAGTGCGAAAGTTGGACAGTAAGTAGGGATCCTGAAATGCCAGTTATGAAGAAAATAAGTTGTATCATCTTAATCACGGGGTCCTTGGTGGTCTCTGACCTTGGTGGTTTTCTTGCAGAGGTTTCGTTACCGAAGTAGGTAATTTCATCAGTTCTAGCGCAGTCGTAGCCCTGATGATGTTACCTAGTTGGGTCACGAAATGTCTGCAAGAAAATCACCAGGCTTAGAGAGCATCAAGGACCCCACAGTTCAATTCTCAACTACAGATATATTTTTTGTCCGGGGTCATCTGAATCCTTAGGGGGAAAAAAGAGAAAGGGATGAAGTGAGATATTTGATAATAGTTTTGTAAACTCTCATTTCAAAAGAACCGATGTTTGTGCAAATACTGAGCACACATATTTGTCTTCGTTATATTTGTAGCGGATGAAAGGATGGGCATCCGCCAGCTTTCCCTCACAATCACTTTTAGTATCCAACTTCCAAGGATTTTCAACTTCTATTTTAATTGTGTATTTTAAGTCTTCATGGAAGAAGCCGAAAGGAATCGGATCCGGATTTCAGGATGGGAAGGTCCTAATGTTCACACCGGGGTCCTCACCTTTGAGCTGGAGGCCCATCCATGATGATATTTATCCATAAGATCTGCATGGCGTTGAGTGGATTTGGCAAATTGAATATGGTGGACAGAGTTATTAAACTTAGAGCAGAGATGCTCCTGAAAGGAGGAAAAGCAGGAGAAAAAGAAATTAACCAACATTTGAAAAACAGCTTTGATTCCACTCTTGGTATCCAGTCATGCAGGTGAAATGCTACTGGTTCAGGCCAGTTCACCCGAACCAGTAGTAAAAAAATGCTACCATTTGCCCAAACCGGTAGTAAAAAATGCTACCATTTGCCCGAGCCAGTAGTAAAAAATGCTACCATTCGCCCCGACTGGTAGTAAAAAATGCTACTGTTCACCCCAACNCGCGGTTTTGTGGTGGAACCGGCGAATGGAAGGGTTTCTATTCCTTGCAGTGATCTGGTCTTTCTGAGAGTCACTAAGGTTTTGTCTGCGCTCCCAGGGTCCACCTGAAGACGGATCCAAATGGATGCGGAGCCTATTTGGAATTGCTGAAACCTCTTCAAGAAAATCCCAAAGGTGCTTTTTCCGAGGGCAACTTGGATTTTGATTGAAGACGTTTCACTTCTCGTCCAAGAGGCTTCTTCCGTTCTGAAGAAGCTTGGATGAGAACCTTTCACTTCCCATCCATTCTCAGTCATCCAGATCAGGGTTGTCCCAAAAGTGCTTTTTCCAAAGGCAACTGGACTTTCTTGGATTCTGCTTGAAGGCATTTCGCTTCTCATCCATGAAGCTTCTTCCGTTCTGAAGAAGCTTCATGGATGAGAAGCGAAATCCCTTCAAGAGAATAAAAAATCCAAGAAAATCCAGTTGCCTTTGCAAAATCCACTTTTGGGATAACCCTGATCTGGATGACTGAGAATCTCGGACTCCTGCAAAAAAACTTACTTCTCTTTATCGAGAAAGGCTACTGAAAAAGAAATTGTGTGTCTTCAAAAAGAAAACACCATCCTTTGGTCTGAAGTTTCAAATTCAACCAATTTGAACATCCTCATCCTGAATGCAAATCCAGAAGGCTCATTCTCTGAGTTTGGGTGAGTTAAAGGAGGGGGGGAAAAATCACATTAACTAAATGTGGCTAACGTACAGGAACGGTGTCCACCAAAAGAGTAATGGAACCAGAGATGGTCTTGGGATGGTCATCTATGATCTCACCTCCTTCCAAAAGACGTAGATGGTCCCCATGATGATAACGGTTGCCGAAAGGATAATTTTTAGAACCAGGGACTTGCTGAGAATTGTATCTGTGGGGTTCCTTGGTGGCTTTTTGATGGCGTCTTTGTCTACCGGCTCAACACCCAAACTGGTGAAGAAGAAGAAGAAAGAAGAAGAAGAAGAAGAAGAAGAAGAAGAAGAAGAAGAAGAAGAAGAAGAAGAAGNTATCTATCTATCTATCTATCTATCTATCTATCTATCTATCTATCTATCTATCTATCTATCTATCTATCTATCTATCATCTATCTATCTATCTTGCCATAATAGCATTCCTAGCAAAAACCATTCTAGAAGTTGTTGGAGATCGAGAGGCGAATTAAATGAAAAATGGAATTCTTACATTAAAGCTGGTTATTGTGCTTGCACAAATATGTATTTTAATGCAGTAACTGTATGGACAGTTGTTCAATGTAAGCTATGTATGTGTATCTACACGCATGCACACTTGTGCACATATACATTCACACACACACCCTATTTTAAGTTCAGTAAGAAAGGAAAGGAAGCAATTGACTGTTGTTTTCCCGGGTCTGGATTGTGGGAGGACTCGACACAACAGTGAGGGAATTACTCAGTGGGAGTATGGAGTAGCGTCCTGTCTGGATTGAATATTTTGCACACAGACTATTGCCAAAGTATTTCAGTTTGGACAAGGTTTTCATAATAGCCTTAGCACTTAGTCTTATATTCTACTTCACAGTGCTTTACAGTCCTCTCTAAGTCAGCCTCTTGCCCCCAACAATCTGGGTCTTCATTTTACCAACCTAGGAAGGATGGAAGGCTGAGTCAACCTTGAGCTGGTCAGAATCGAACTGCCGGCAGTTGGCATTCAGCAGAACTGGCCTGCAATTCTGCATTCTAACCACCGTGCCACCACCTCTCTCTATAGACTACAGGGGGATAGCAGTGCTGCAAGTTGTAATAGCAATAGCACTTAGACTTATATACCGCTTCACAGTGCTTCTACAGCCCTCTCTAAGCAGTTTACAGAGTCAGCCTCTTGCCCCCAACAATCTGGCTCCTCATTTTACACACCTCGGAAGGACGGAAGGCTGAGTCAACCTTGAGCCAGTCAGGATTGAACTCCCGGCAATCGGCGCTCAGCAGAACTGCCCTGCAATTCTGCATTCTAACCCCTGCACCCCCAGGGCTGAGCTAAGGGGAGGAGCGATTTAAGGGTGCAGTGCAGTTCCGCCCGGCTTCTCTTTCCCGAGGGAAAACAGAAATCAAGCTGGCACTTGTTCAAATGTTGTGCACGCTTAAGAGCCGAGTTGGCTCAGTGGTTAGGGTGCAGTACTGCAGGCCACTTCAGCTGACTGTTATCTGCACTTCGGCGGTTCTGATCTCACCGGCTCAAGGTTGACTCAGCCTTCCATCCTTCCGAGGTGGGTGAAATGAGGACCCGGATTGTTGTTGGGGGCAATATGCTGACTCTGTAAACCGCTTAGAGAGGGCTGGAAGCCCTATGAAGCGGTATATAAGTCTAACTGCTATTGCTATTGCTATTGCTATTG